AAATTTAACAGCTCTATCATTACAACTTTTCTATTGAATAATTGAGGTATCAACTCATTTCGAAACAATAGATTATTGTTTACACTTTTGGATAATAATATCAAGTTCTTTTCTACCAAATTTTTTTAAAAGGTCGAATAGACCAATCCGGTCCGGTTAGTATTAAACCAAGTCCTAATTTACAATTCTGATTTGGCCTAACCAGTTAAATACAAAGACCAAGAAGAAAAAAATAGTGGCACAAATCGACTTTCTCCGTTCATCATCTCCGGTAAGTTTCTCCTCTTTCTCTCTTCTCATGTCCTTTTTTTCTCTCCGACTGTTTCAGACTGATTTCGTCGGTCTAAAGGTTCGATTTTGCCTAAATATCGGTTTAAATTTTCAATTCTTTCAAGCTCCGATTTTAATCGTCTGATTCTGTGCCGTGATAAGAAAAACAAAACCTGCGAACTCTTTACTGTTTCTCCGATTTGGGTTTGCGAAAGCAATCGCACATTCGCAATCCTTGTCACAAAGATGTAACTTTTTTTTTTTTGATGATGATTTAGCTTCCATTGCCACAGTCTTGAAATTTGCCCTGAGATTTTGGTTTCTCTGATTCTATGCTTAGTGAGAACGATCCAAAGTTTGTTGGGTTTATGGTTTTTTATCTCAAGTTACATGCTTAAGATCTAGACTTTTGTAGGGGGTTCTTGCGTTGATTCCTTTTGCACTATCTCCATAGAGAAGAGAGTGTTTTAGCTTGAAATCTCATGTGTATTGATTGATACTTTGGTGTGAGCAGTTATTTGAAAGGGGGAAGATCAAATGGATAACATTGTGGACTCATTGAATAAAGCTTACGAGAAGTTTGTTCTTGCCTCGGCTAATGTACTCGAGGCTAAAGAGAGTGCGGGTGGGCAAAAAGCTTTGCTTACTGATGTTGCGTTAGAGAATTTCAAGGAGAAATGGGAACTGTTCCGTGTCGCTTGTGATCAAGCCGAGGAGTTTGTGGAGTCTGTGAAACAGAGAATTGGATCTGAGTGTTTAGTTGACGAGGCTACTGGTTTAACTACTTCGACAGGTAACTCAGGGCAAGTAGCAGCTGTTGGTGCTGCGACTAGTCTCCCGCCTATTAGTGCGGTAAGACTTGAACAGATGAGTAGAGCTGTTCGATGGCTTGTTATCGAGCTGCAACGTGGCTCTGGCGTAGCTGCTGGGTCTGTGCATTCTTCCTCTACCGGGTTTGATGCTAGATTTTCTGAAGACTCGACTCAATAGGCCGCGCCTCTACTCATAACATTCCAAGTAGTAAACGAATGCGCGCATATCACCTTGTAAGCTAAAACTGCAGCTCCATAACTCTCGACTCTGCTATGTTGGAGAGTTTTCTTTATTGAGGAAGAGTAGCCTTAACCAGTGTTGTATACTGTTATGTCATGTGATTTAAACCAAGCAAGAAGCAACAACACTTTATTGTTCATGAGTTTGATTTGTAGGGATTTTTGAGTGTTACCAATTTTTTTGCATTTAGTTCTGAATCTCAAGTAAAGTTTTTGTTGTTGTAATTCTTCATATATTATTATGTTTCTGTTGTTTCAAAGAACAAAAACTACTTAACCATATGATTATTATATCTCGAGTTTAAAACCTTAATGAAGTTGTGTGATTTTGGTAGCTCTAATTCACAGCAAAATCATGATTAAAAGGCAAACAACAACAAAAAATTGTCACACAACAAAACCATGACAAGAAAAGATGGAAACACACTTAACTTCACTGTATTACAATAACAACCCAATACGCATCAGATAGAGAGTTAGTTTCGTATGTTGAC